AATTGGCCAATTTACAGTTTTTACATTTGCCGTTGAGCGTTTTATCTCAGTGTTTCCCTAGCATCACCTCATCCTAGGTAAAATGAAGACTGCAGCTGATATTGTTGAGGCCACCGCCTGCAAACTGGTGGATGCCTGAAATGCAGGAGGAAATCAATATCCATCCCAGTGGAGCTTATAGCATCCCTGGGAAGATCCAGCTCAAGGCACGCTGAAGCCCTGTCTCACACTGATGACACAGTTGCACTTTCGTACTACCAGCTTTTCTGAAATGAGTGTGAGGCTCTCAGCAGAGATGACTGCTGCTCTGACTTCTGCTATATGGTTGTCAGACACCCTTCCTCCCAACCCTTCCTGCTTCCATCTGCCATGCCTCTTCAACTGCAAGAAGCCCAAGGCATGCAGTGTGTACTTCAAGGGGCTTTGTTGTTTCAGGAATGAGAAAAATCACACTCGATAAGGTTATGCTCCCCCGTTTTGTACTTACTGTCCACATTTGGCAGATTCTGACATTAGTTTCCTGCTATTCGCCCCAGCAGGCAGAAGGGGTGATATGGTCACATGCACACCCAAAACCTTTCGTGCAACTGCAGACGAGGATTTTTTTCTTATTATTCTCCAGTTTTCTCTCTCAAAAAAGCAGTACATGGAATACCTACAGTAGCTTGGCTACCAAAAGCAGCCTGACTGCCCTCGTGAAGCACTCTTTCTGGTCTAGCTGTCTTGCTGAGAGGTGAGTTATACTAGCTGCATGGCTTCTAGCCCTTGAGCTACCCTGATATTAGTATTCCTACAGAGAAGACCTAGCTCTGGTCATTTCATTAGGCTTTTCTGTGAATTCAGCAAGTATTTTGAATGTTTTTGTAGGAGCTACACAATTTGCTCGGAAGCAGTTTGCTTTTTAGAGACTATTCCAAGAAAACAATGAAACCATGAAGAAATAGAGCGTTAGATTACATTTTAACAAGGGTATCTGATGGCCTAATGTTAGTCCACAATTTCCGTACAGTCATTACAACGCTTAAAAATCATATTCACTTTACCCTGAATATAGCTAAGTTAACTGAAATTGCTCAAATCTACATTAAAGCAAAGCACTAGAGTCTGAAGCTTTCTATTAACAAAGGAGCACTTACCTGTAATCATAGTTAGAGCTGATAAACTTGCTAAGGCTGGGATATCAAGGTTAAGGCTCTTTAAGTTTAAGGAAAAGTCTTTAATAGAGTCGAGCCACTCCCCAAATCCACGAAGGCACTGAAGTCTATGAAGCACAAGTCCATTGCAGAATACAAACTTATCCTCAGCAGTATCAGACCTCAAATAAAAATCATTGAAAAAATTAGAAATGCATTTTCTACTTTACAGCAAAATGCATAACCAGTATTGAAGTGTCTGTCATTTAAAATCCAAGGCATATTATCCTGAGACATATGTGGACATTCACGTTTGACAATATGTTTCTCCCTTGGGGCCAAAGTACAACAAACAAGCTTCTATGATTGCTTACTTGGTAGAGTTATAAGCCTGAGGTTAGCTGTAGCATGTGGTGTAGACTGTCTAATTAGTTAAGATTTTGGTCCTGCCCAAAGGCATAAACAGAGAAGACATTTTACATTAAATACTGTATGTCTGAACCAAAGGAATACTAAGTGAGTGCATTTTGAAATACAAAACAAATAAAAACCGGAGAAAGAAGAGATTCTGCAACTCTCAGCATTTACTTAGTCTCATCTGCGTTTTTCATACTGTAAAAATTGGTAAGGAAAAACAATGGAAAGAAATGCATGCAATAATGCACCACAATACACATAACATCATAAACTCTTTTATGTGAAAACCTGTCTGTAAGAGAGCTATTACAGCCAAGCTCTCCGCTCCTTCCCCTCCCTATTGCCAATATCCCTGTTAAAAACCACATGCAAGGGTCATTTTCAAGCTAAAGAAAGAAGGGCATAATTCAAATCACCAGTTTGGAATTTCCCCAGTCCCTGAAAGTGGTTTTGGTAAAGTGTCTTAACTAGTGCCAGACTGACAAATAGCATCTCACTCTATTAAATGACTTGGTATTAAGAAGAAAAACAATCTGAACAAGATTTTAAAGCTTCTTTATCCCTTTCAAAAACAGATGACAAAGATGTGCATGCGCAGAAGAAGAGGGAAAAGGGAAAATCTTTCATACTGAAGGTGCTTTTCTGTAGTTTATGCTGATGAGTATGAAGCAATCTTGCTCAAATAGTACCCGAGGATCAATTTTGATTGCTATGGAAGAGGAGGATGGGGTATATCAAATAAAAAGAAGCACATCAGTGAGACCTATGCTCTCTTTTTAAATCACTTTCTTGTTTTTCTGCGGCGTAAAACAAATTAAACACCATATCCTGTGGATTCAGACATTGCTGATGTTTTGTGGGGTTTTTGGTACAATTGACAATGTTCGAAGATAGCACCATATTTATTCCTTAAAAATATTTAGATGGATAATTCTTCACATCAGCTTAAGAGGAAATGAAATAAATAGTTACCTGATGGAGAGTCTTAATACAAACAGCTCCAAAAAAGCTGATTCTATGAGTAATGTCTGATCTTCTTTTGGGAGGTCAGTAAATCCTGGGATTTTTTCTGCCCAGCCTCTAGTTATGTCAATGGAGGCAGTCAGAAGATTATAGAACTGTTGTACATGTTCTGCATCTGTGCCTGCAGCAGCCTGATCAGTGGAACAGTACTAAAATGAAAGCCACAGAAAGCAACGTTATATGCATTTAAGGGCATTCTGCGAAACACACAGCATTACCTGCCCGACAATATTTCCTTCTGTGGCAAAGCTGGTATTATTATCAAAGGCATAATAAGTAAGTCTACATCTATCTACCTATTTGGCTACCTACAGGCATTTTACTGTTCAGAGGTATATTGCAAAAATATTTCCACATGTACAGAAATTGTTTAAAATTTATAAATAAACTATAATACGTATCACAGTTTACAAGTACCTGTATGTTATTAGTAAACAGAAACAGAAACCTGGTGGGTAGGATAATTTCTATCACACTAGAAAAGGAATATTACTTAACTTGCTACAATTAAACACTTCCCATTGATGAATTTGTCTCAGTATGTCCAAAATGCAGATTTCTTCCTAAACCTCTCAAACTGCATTTTATCTGACAGTGATGGAGACATGTAAGATAAATCATCTTTTATCTGACACATGCAGCATTGCTTCGTTTGAATACAGAATTGGTTCAGAGTAAAACAGCTGCCCCATATCACCTCTTACCCTTCAAATAGAAGCATTTAAGGTTCAGGAGAACCTATTATCCTGCTGATGTGGCCATAACTCTTCCAGACACCCACTCGACAGGCTCAGCTTGCTCAGCTTCCCCGTGACCCTCTGACAGCTCCCTCCCTGATATCTCCTACTTCCCCAGCAGTGGATCCCTGTCACTCCCATGACGCTGCTCTCTTTCTCTTGGCAGAAAATACAACAAGAGCTTTCGTGGCTTAGTCCGATTCTGTGCTTGGAAAGCGCTGCTGGTTTTCTGAGCAGGAACTGAATGATTTGGGATTTATTGTAATAACATCCTCCCCATCAGGCATCTTGTGGGTTATTTCTGGGAGAGACTTCATACTCACGCTCTCTGGGACTCAGCCAAGGAAGGGTTGGGGTGGTCTCCATGGGTGAAAAAAGTGTGCATGCCCTTTGGAAACGCCTTTCCACATGCATTAGGGCTTGAGTCTGTCAGCCTAAAGGTCTCCCTAGCAACTCCCCAAGCCAGAGTGGAAGCAGAAAGAGCCACATCTCTTTCCCGATTGGTAACAGCGGGCTGGGAGGACCTTATTACGGGCGTGCCACTTGGGCTGCAGATATCACCCAAGTTGCTTACTGCAACCCAAAAGACACCTCTGTGCAGAAAAGAGCGGCGGCAGCAAGCAGAACTTCTCAGGTAGGTGTCCTGATCTCTGCCTGTCCTAGTCGGAGCTGGTTGCTGCTGGTAGGTAAGGGATGAAGGGGACAGTGTCAGAGTTGCTGATTGATTGGAGAACCATAGCAATCCTAGAGACCTCTGGCCATATCTGGGGTACCAGTGCTAGCCCTGCATGACTCTGTTCTGCTTACCCAACACTAACTGCATGAGTTTCTCATGGTAAGCTCCAGCTCACATCCCTATTCAGCTAGTGAAACACATGTGATCTCTCTGATAAAATCCATGTGCAGACAAATTCTGCCCCAGCTAGTCCGAAGGATCCTGTGACGGTGAAGCAAGTAGAGGCCAAAATACAGAGAGGATGGGGAGCAGCGGTAGAAAAATCTGTATGCTGCACCATTTATGTGTTCAGTCCCCCAACTGAAGGGAGCAGTTGAGGATGCTCAAGCAGCATGAAACAACTACTACCGGCACTGGACTGCAGCAAGATGCACTGGGGTCATTAGTGGGTAGAAAAGGATTGTATGCTTTTCCAGAGACCTTGCATGTTCTGGACCCTCTTAAAATGAAGCTGGGGAGAAAGCCAAGACAGCGTGAATGTGAGTAGACGGGCTTTTCCCATTCATGGCCTTCAGCTTCTGAAGGCTCTGGGAGATGTGCTTTGCTGCACAGGGGCTGAGCTACGACTCCTCCTTTCTACATGGGGAAATGGAAAAGGCTGATGGAAACTCTTGCCTCACCACAGGTACTGTTAAGGTAAGACACATTCTTGATCCTTTGATCAGTGAAGAGGAAGGAAAAGAAAAGGAAAAGAAAAAAGATACTACCCTAAGTTCATTCTAAATATAACTCATCACAAGTCAGCATAATTATGTCAGGTATTAATTTGCTCCCAATATTTATACAACATTCCTTTGACAAAGTAAGGCAAAGTTTTAACATTTTCTAATGAAGCTGAATGCTGCATTGTGTCACATAACTATGAGTGCTACAGTACGGTATACCCCACGCGGGACACTTAATTGAATTAAATGCATCTAAAAAATTGTAACCTGTATTTGTTGCTACAGTTTAGCCCATGAGACCGATTTTAGAAGAAAGATAAAAAATTATATGGAATTGTGTAATTTTTAGCTGCTAGCTACAAAGAGTTAGCACTTACAAAGAATAGCTGAAGTAAAATATTATTTACTTGTAACAGACTTATGAGTATATAAGTAACCCCAAACAATACGTATGGCTCTGTTTTATGCACCAAAATCTGTGGGTTTTTTCCATGATTATTTCATTGAGAAGAGGTGATATTTGACCTAAATTCTGACCAAGACAGCTGGTAAGCCTGCCCTTGGTCAGGAGGCCACGGTACAGAAGGGCTTGGATATGCATTTCTTAACCTGCCCTGTGCAAACTGGAGGCACGCCGGGAGAAAGCCAGAAGACAAAGCTCTGCCTTACTCCCTTCCTCAGAGCTCCTTTGGGAATTAAATGAAACCCGACTGTTACTCAAGGAGGGGGTTGCACATGTAGCAAGCAACATTAACTTGTATGGTATATCTAAAGCGATTCGGAAAGCCTGATAGCATGACCTGGCTCTACCCTTTGCCTGCTTTCATCAGACCTTCATCAACTGCTACAGCTGCAAAAGCCTAACAATAACTTCTCTGCACAGAGGAGAAGTGATGATTGTTTTTCCAAAAGCCCCGATATTTGCTTAATTTTGTGGCTGGGGAAGGGGGGGATTATTACCTAAAAGCTGCTCTCTCCCTCCAAAAAGGCAACATTTCTATTTAAGTTGGTGGCTATTCTGCATGAATAAGGACGGCAAGATATAGGGTCTGTTTCTCATCTCACTTACTTAGAAGTGTAAACTCATGGAATTGTACCAGTAAAACAGGTGTGAGACCGGACTGCGGCCCTTGGCCTTTAAAGAGTTCATAAACCAAATTCTCTTCCTAGCAATTGCTTTTTGAAACCAAGTACCTAAATATACCATTGCTGCGGACTGGTAAGTTAAAACCAGTGCTGAAATGAAAAGTAGCCATGTTTTGAACAGAACCAGTTCCAATCTGTTTTGGTTTAAAATTCATAGCTTATGTAATTTATTTTCGGTTTTGTTTTGGGTTTTTTTGTGCATGTGTGTAGGTTTTTTTGGAGGGAAGGGGTACACGTTCCTCTCTGAAACTCTTACCAGTATTTTTAAGACGGTCAAGATGTTATGGCTTGTAAACATGAAGACCATGCTAAACATTAAGGTCGTGTCTGCGGAAATTTTAGGACTGACTCCAAAGCCAGGTTTCCAGATCTACCCATTTGTGGTGCACGGCAGGGTCACGGCCTAACTGAATGTGCCATAAATTAGTCTGTACAGGTACGGAATAATCCTTCAAAGGGATTTTTTAGCATGGCAGTGTGTTTACTGCATATTTCGTTTAGTTAATCTGTTTTTACACAGCATTTATTTCTGATCTCCCTTAACTTTTCAAAATAAGTGTAAGGTTTATGAAGAACATAAGAATCTATTAATTTCTTTCAGCATATTTTTGTCTTTTCAGTACTGCTGAGCATAACAGACTATTATATATTTTATTGTAAAGAAAAACTCGGATATTAATATGTCCTAACAGACAATCATACTTAATCTTTTAGCTACCAAGACTAAATTAATTTACTGCCAATCATATGCTTCCTGTAATGTCCAACAGAATTGTTCAACAATTAGATCTATGGGCTGTTTTCATTAAAAGAGAAATCATTACTGCAGGACAAAGAAAAAAGTCACATCAAAATACACAGTTTTCATTCAGTTTTTTGTAAATGCAGAAGAACTTTGTATCTATAAATAAATAAATACATATGGTTAGATACTGCTTTCATGGCCTGGGCTATTATACGCCTGTAATTCTGAGGAACCCAGCAGATTTCTGGCAAAGAGCACAGCTCGTCACACACCTCAGTATTTGCAGAATGACCCCCTGAGACATTCTGGATAAGTTAAAATACGGGTAAATATGGCTAATGCGTTCTCCCCCCAAAGGCTGTCAGATGCTGAACAGCTAGATTCTTAATAACAATTTGGAAAATTACATGACTGTATACTTACAGATTAGCTTGAAGAAAAGATGTTACAGCATGCTTAAAATTGCTAAATGATATATGTAAGTATATTCTAAAACAGAATAATGCCATTTTTATATAATCACAATCAAATATGTTTTAGTATTAAATATTACTTAGCAACAAGTGATAAATGGCCAATGTAGATGTTGTCTGAGTACAGCTGTATTTTTTACAGCCTCAGATTTAATCATATTTCATTAAGGGGAAGGAATTTGATCTTGTTTTTCCTTAGCTGTGTTTTTTTTCTTTTCCTATATCAACCTGCCTAAAAATGTATTTAACAAGCCATTTCAATGCTGTATTTTAATAACTATGAAACAGTTTTTTAACCTTTCAAAATAGGCCATGAATATTTAAATGTTGAATATGATACGTTAAAGAACAAGGTTACAAAAATATATAATCTCTGGTAAAGCTTTGCTGTGATAATTTTTTAGAATTTTGATTTTAAAAGGTTTGTTTTACAAATGTGAATTTTACTGAAGAAATATTCAGGCTGGGGTATCCAAAGCCAGACCCTGGTCCCCTTTGAATAACGGCAAAATTCCTGTTGATTTCAATAGAAATGGCCCTATCCATCCAGTATTACTTTCCACAACCCTTATATCTGATTACTAGGGAAGTGCTATTAGACATTAGCCTTCAGAACCTGGAAATTAAGATACTGGACATATAAGTACTGCTCCTGAGTATGGTAGATTAATCAGTTGTATTGCAACTGCTAGTGTTTTGGGACAGCCTTTTGCAAGAAGAACGCTCTATTTATCCATGCGTTTTTGCTTTCACTCAACCATGGAATATACTGCAGGTAACTTTGTGATCGAGATCCTCACGACGAATAGTTACTAACACTAATTTCTACTGCACCTCCTTTCCCCTCATTGTCCACCTACCATGAAAAGACATGGCTGGCTGGACAAATTTCTACCCTCATCCAAATTTCACATTTAACTTCATTTGAGCAAACCATCTGGTAAGTAGAAATGCAGTTCACAAATCATTTCTACGTGGAAAACAAACAGGCAAAGAAAAGTGAGGCTTACTCTTGAATAGTCAAGCTCCCTGGGCGTGGAGTCAGTTAAAGCTCGTACGAGGGCGTTCATCATGCTGATGGGAGGAGAAGGCGGGGAGGGCTGAGAGGGTTCTTGCTGTAAGGGGCTCTTTGGTTTGGAAGGCAGCCGACCTCTTCTCCCTTTCAGGCTGTCGGTACGGACAACTAGGTTAAAAAAAACCAAGGGAATTAGTTGTGAAGATACCAGCAAACGACGGATCAGAATGAACACCTGCTTTTCTTATGGTGGCCAGCCCAGCAAAAATAAGAGCATTCTCCATTTTTAGCATATGCTGAAAATGCCTTTGGTTGGAAAGGAACACAAATGATACCAAAATTGTCAGACCTATGATCATAAGCAGCAATGTAGCTGCTTACTTAAAGCCCAGCTGTGTTCCTAGTGTTTGTACTTGGTTTGCAGCACATCTGTGCGCCCGTGTATGTGTGCCCATGCACACACACACACACACACAGACACTCTACTGCTAAAAGAACACTGGATGTGAAACACAAATTCTAATGTTCCTACTACTGGTGCACCTTTTAAATGGCAAATTCAAAGTAATTTTAGCTTTCTTGAAGGATTTGAAAAAAGATGGTCACACTATATAGGTTCTGTTATCCATGTCAGTATTTGCAATGGGACTGCTCACACAGCATTACTCACATACTTCAATATTTGCAGAACTGAGACTAATGAGTTGATCCTGTTTCCATTTAAATTAATTGCAAATTTACAATCAGCTTATGGGAATGAGACAAGATCCTATGTCGAAATGCACACAATCCAGTGCAGCCCCCGGTGAGATAACAGGAGGAAGCCAACAGCATTATCGAGCAACGCTCAAAGTTAATAAAGGAGACATTTTGGCCAGAGTCAAATTATCCTCTCGTGACCTTGCTGTTCTTGAACTCTGGGGTCTAAAGTCTGGATATGATAATATGGGTGAAAAGAAGAAAATCAATGCATTCTTACACAAATGCACATATTTTGGGGTAGAGTTATGAATCCCATCACTGTAAAATTCATTGTAAAGACATCCATGTCCACACGCACACACACACACACGCAGGTTCATTAAACGTAATATTTCACTGTCTGGGATAATAATAGCAATAGTCCTCACCTTCTTTAACCATGCCGACGCTGAGACACTTCTGAAACCGGCAGTACTGGCATCTGTTACGACGTCTCTTGTCCACTGGGCAGTTTTTATTTGCCAGACAAACATATTTTGCATTTTTCTGAACTGTTCTCTGCGAAAATGCAACACAAAAATAGTAAACTGATCGTTTCTTGAACAACTTAGAACCTGACAAAATGTGTTTTAATTACAACATGAAAAGCGACAGTGCAATTCATATAATTAGATAAAATTAATTTCCTAACACACTAGCCTCCAGGAAAAACAATTTTATTAGTGTTAGCTGCTGACAATGAAAATCATCTAGGATTGTTCTGAAGCAAGTCTCTGGAGACAGGCAACTTTGAATGATAAAATCATATCTGAAATTACCAGGTCATCGCATCTACCTTTGGGGATTAGATTATCTCCGCTTTTAATATCCCTTTGGGAACAATTTTCTACTTGGTTCATTCCCTTGATTATTGCTGACCTTATTAAAATAAAATCAAAATGATCTGCGATGTACTTCTCTTGCTATCGCTATTGTTAGTCAAATACCACAATAACTGGTTTGGTTAGCCATTAAAATCATCAGGGAGAAAAATAAAAATACCAGAAACCCCTACAAAATATGTTTAGTTAAATATTCTGGAAAAGCCAACCTGCCCTGGGAAAAAAATAGGCAGAATTATACTGTAGTTACATACATTTAATTAACTCTCAAATGATCTTCAAACTATACAATAAATTTAAAATTTGTAAAAACCTGGTAAGCCTTGGCAGAATGTAACAAATATTGATGAAAAAATGTATTATGTATTTCCATGCTTAAAATCAAAGATACATCAATAAATAACACAGCACCAAAAAAAAAAAAAAGACATTAATAGGAAAGACATCAGAACAAGAACAAATTCATCAGCTCAACATTCAACATTAAATCTTTCACTGCAATTAAATTAATGGAAAAATGTTATTTCATAATTTGTGTTCCTTTTGAAATAACAGCCTCAATGTACTAAATATAAGAAACACAGCAAATATTGTTCATTGTGCTTTAGAGCTGAAATCTGTTTAATTTTGCAGAATAAGCTCTAGATACCGCTCCCAGTCAAGGATATGCTATTGATTTCCACAGGGGCAGGATCAGGCCCGTAAGAGCTGCTATTTCCAGGTTATTTGTGTTTCCTTTTCTAATGATATTTAAATAACAAATGAGTTTTACAGGAGAGGTGTATTTCACCATGTTGTCAAAGGATTATTATTAAGTAAAATCAGCAGCTCTGTGTACAATAAAAAAAGTGTTGTGAGCCCTCCCCCCTAACTATTTTTGGACTATTTTTGTTCCCATCGTATCTTTTACCAGAACAGGGGCACGACTGCTGTCTTTGCAGGAAGGAATATACCATATCAACCCCAAAGGCATCAAATCTTAAACCTGCTGCCCAGACCCATCCCCCTAAAAGTCTGCCCCAAGTTCTTCACTCAAACAAGCTAAATCTGAAAATAATACCGGAATCTGAACTCAGTCTGTGGAGAGGAAATTACGAAGCGCCCAAATCTAAGAGCGAAAAGAAGGTATTCAAATCTTAAAAACATAAGCACAAAGTTTCCACCGAGAAACTGACGTGTGTAAGTTATTTGTGTAGCTCTTCAGCTGCAAAGCCTTCTCCATTACAGAGAGGGCACCGGGACCCCGTGCAGTGCTTAGTCACTGCTCTGCAAGCAGCTTTCCACTGGTGGGGACTCACTGGGCTCCTGAACTGAAGAGTAACGACGCAGCAGCAAGCAAATAAAACTAGAAGGGCTTGGGTTTGTCCCATCCATGAAACCGGTTTCCTCCGGGCACCGACCCTCCGGCCCTCCTCACCCCAGCTGCCCCAGGACAACAAATGGCACCGCTGCAATCAACTAAAATAGCGGACTTTACGATTTCTGGATTTCTTTCCTCACTTAAAAATGAGGTTTAATTGGAACGCGTGACTGAGCAAAACCCAGGTTGGATGTATTCCAGGTGAGTTTCGCTATGGAACAAATGCAGTTTATAGCTCAGAGAGGCGTGACCCATGCTCCGTTGAGGGATGCTGGCAGACTGGGGACGCGGTTTGCCCAGCTCACTGCCACGGCCCTTTCTCAGCCGAGACCGGCTGATCCTTTTATCCTACGGAGGGCTTGCTTTGGCCTTCTTCGAAAGCTTTGGTGGGTGTCCATCATGCCCTGCTGGGGGGCTCTGAGCTCTAACACAATGCCCCCGAGCCCCCGGGCGACGACCAGGAGCGTACTGGGGCAGGCAGGGAGGGAGGGGAGGCTGGGGGAAGCGGGGAGGGGAGCAAACCGCAGAGCTCTCACCTTGAAAAAGCCCTTGCAGCCCTCGCACGTCCGTACCCCGTAGTGCTGGCAGGCGGCATTATCCCCACAGACGGCGCAGGTGCCTTCCCCGGACGAGGAGCTCCTGCTGGGTGGAGACGGGAGGCCGCTGCTGCCACTGCCGCTGCTCTCACCTATCAGGCTGGAGGTGGCTGCGTTGAGGCCGAGCGGTGAGAAGGCTAAGGTGGCTGGTCTTTTGGCCAGGTGAAGCCCGTAGGAATGGCTCTCCATGGGTGTCTGGCTGGCGGCGGGTCTGTCGGAGCCCAGGGGCAGGCTCAGGGAGGCAGGGTCGTAGCACATGTGGGCAGCTGCGGCCGGCGTGTGGGGGGGCGAGTGCTTGAAGTGGAAGAGGGGGAAGCGGGGAGGCACGGTCTTCATGGGGGCAGCGTCCATCAGGTGGCCGGGTGGCAGGCAGGTCTGCGTGGGCTGCAGCGGGGGCTCGTCCCACAGGCTCTGGTGAGAGGGGAAGCCGGGTGTGGTGGGCGTGGAGGGCGGAGATTGCTTGAAGTACATGGAAGTGCTGGGCATCCCCTCGTCTGTGGAGGGTGGCAGCGAGGGCTGGTACGAGGAGAGCCGGGTGTCTTCCATCTTTATGAGGGGCCTCTGGCCGGAGGAGGCAGATTGCATTTGGTAGAGGCAGGAAGGCTTGAGCTCGTAGCTGCCAGAGTAACCCTCCATAAAGGTGCTGAAGCTGGGCAGGGAGGTGGTGGCAGTGGCAGTGATTTCAGTACTGCTCAGGTCCATGGTCAGCTTGGCATAGTCAGGGTTCATGATCTCCGAGCTGTACTCCGAGCCATACGCGTAGGTCTGAGCTGCATAATTTGAACCAGGCGGTGAAGGACTATACTGCGCTTGCACACAGGGCATATCTGCAAGGGCAAAGGGGAAGATTAACAACAAGCCCAGTGCGTTGAGGCTGCGGCCCAGGCCCTCGTGAACTTCTTTCCTAAAAGCTTTCCCACATTTCACGGAGCTCCGTTAGACACCTGACTCCCATTCTCGCCTGGACAGGGGACATAAAAATTAGCCTCGAGTCTTTGCCTTTCAACAAGAAATATGCATTGGGGATCGACTAAGCATTAGGTATTAGGGAGCCTGCTCTCATCTAGTCGCGGGAGCGACTCAAATTTATACTAGTGTCAGTGAGAGAAGAAGCCATCTCAAGCTGCCCTACATCTGCAGCTTAATATACATAGGTGTCAATGAGAATTAGATAAGCAGAATGAAAACAGTTTATGGCTCTAAATCTATCTCTGCATGCGTGCAACTGTGCCATAAAATTTTCATGAAGGGTAAACGAGATTATCAAATGAATAATATTAAAAATGATATTTATTTTAAAAGAAACAGCATCTGCATTGCGTGTCAGAGGAACGACTCAAATCACAGCGTTTGCTACTTAGGACTTGCAAACATCAATTTTGCTTATTCAGCTCTGGGCCTTTGAAGCGTATTTCTGGTCAGCTAATAATTTAAGCTTGCTGTCTAACTGGTAGTTTTAAGGCTTACCTGTGGTAACATGCTGCTAAAAAAAGTGGGTGGTACAACATATCCCTAAATTTGCAAACATGTAAGAGGAAAAGTACCAGGTATTTCTGTTTCTGTTTTTATAGGAAAGCAAGGTTGAGGCTGCTAATATAATTGTTTGCATCCATTAGTCATAAAAGTTAAAGTGGTTCACTGATAGCTGCGATGGTTGAAGCAACACAGTGCCTGGCTATAAAGATTTTTTTTTTTCTTTTACATTTCCTACCAGTCTGCTGTTTCCTTTCTCGCTCTCAGGAAATAATGGACCCAATTCTGCAACCCATTTGAGGTTTGCCTGACTAAACACTGTGAGATTCTAGCCCCAAATTTGCAACCCAAGCTAAAAGCGCGTGTTGTATTTCGGTTCCACAGCAGAAGAATAAAATGCATCAAGGAGCATATATTCTCTTGTAAAGAGAAAAGAAAAGTAAATATGGAGAAAATGTATGTCAAAATTAAGTGCAGTTCATCTCTTCTTAATTGTGGTAATTTATATTCCAAAAGCACTTGAGAAACAATTCATAGTAAAAAAAGCTGCCTTGAAAATAATGGGGCTTTCCTCAGAATTTTAAGAACTCCCTTCACTTATAATTTTAAAATATTCACTTGAGCCTGGCATGCAGGAATCCAAATAATTTTGTGTTAAATCAACTTTTAATTCTTCCCTGCCTGCTTTGCAGATAAACATATTTAAACTGAGCACCAGATTTCCATTATCGTACTGTCACAAACCATTCAGCTCATTCTCCTCGAGAAAACACTAAAAACCGAGAAAAAAATAGTGCTGTTTTCTGAAATTAAGACGTTCCTGCTTGTAAATCTTACTTGCTTAAAGAAAAAAGCAGGACAACCCTTTCACAAGCCTTGCCTCCCAATGTTATTTATGTATTTTTTCTACCGTTCTCTTTTTTCCCTATCAATTTCTGTCCATGCCATTCCACGCACACACATTTCATGGCAAGTCCTACTACTATCATTTGTTAGTTTAAGGACCGTCTGTTAAAACACGGTGATCAGTGCTTAATCAAATAAAAAGGGAAAGAAATTCCTTCCCTGCACCTCTGCTGAGAGCTGCCTGAGGAACACAACTGAGTGAGCGGACAGATAATGTCACGAGTGGATGTGTTGATAGACAACCCTACGAAGGAAAAAGGCTTTTTTTGCTAGCTCAGAAAATGAGCAGGAGTTCAGGGAAACGGCTCGTTATGCTTTTTTTCTGCTTTTTTTCTGAGCATAACAGGGTTATGTCACTGAATTCCGTGCAAAGTGGAATAAGAAAACAGAAGTCTAAAATAAGTCCGACCTGAGGACAGAAAAAAAAATCCCTAAGCTAAAGGTCTGGTCTCTCCTGGCTCTGCGGGACTCCTCCTACCTCGCCCTTTGCCAGCGCACTTGACTGACTAATTCTAACCCCTACTTTTCCACTTAGGGCACCAATATTAATTACCCAGCAAAGTAAATAACCTGGGATTTTTTTCTTCTTTACCCAACAGCATTAAAAAAAAAGCCCCACAGGAGGCGCGTTGAAGAGCAACCTGTCATCAGAGCCCAAATGAATGGGTAAAAAAATCAGGGTAGGGACATTCAAGAGCTCCGACCTTATTATTCTGCGGTCTTTGTCAGAGCTTGCCGTGAGGGATGCCCCGTTTAACGCCAAGCGAGCCGCGCTCCTCGCCAGGGCGCTGACATCCCACCCGTTTTCCCCTGGAGCCCGGCACGTCTCTGGCCGGGGGCTCGCACCCCCACCTGCCCGGGCAGCGCATCCCTAAAAGCCCCGACAAACGCGGGCGCTGCCTTGTGGGATTTAAACGCCCCGCTACGGGACGTCGGGGACCGGTGATGCCACAGGGATTTGGGCAGGGTAGGGGCCGCGGCGGGAGCTCTCGCACTCCCTCCTCCTCCTCCTCTTCCTCCTCCTCCTCCTGGCCCGGGAGGAGGCGGGGAGCGGCAGCTTACCTGGCGGGTATCTTGCGCGCTGAATGGTGGGGCTGGAGGTGCGGACGGAGGCGGCGGCGGGAGGCGGCGGCGGCGGCGGCGGCGGGGTGGGTGCCGGCTGGGACCTCTCTGCGGAGGCGG